CGCCCCGGCCCCGGCGCTCAGCCCCTTTCCCTTCCTCTTGCCTACAACAAAAAACCCCTCCCAACCATCCCCTACAACACCATAAACCCCCATCTCCCCCAAAATGAACGAAACCCAAAGTATTTGCATACTCAACGTTTATTAAAAATAGTATGAAATGGTCCCTGGGAGAAGTTACGCGCTAGTCAAAGTCCCTTTTTCTTTATGTTGAGGAGGTTCACCCCCCACCCCAACTTCACTGATTGCATGAGATGCTAATTAAACAACATTCCCCCCCCTTAGCCGTTTAAACAAATCTAGACGTGCGCTGGTAAAGCACAGATTTAACTTCTATTCAATATTTACAATACTTTACAAGCTATATTAAATAAATACGGGCTCTGCTACACCTCGGCGTCTTAAATATGTACAACATTATTTCTCAATCGGGATTTTACTAGGCAGATGCGGGTCCTATCGCAGTGGATGTGCTGACTGTAACAAGTATCCCTGTGGTACGAGCTAGTAAGTACCATGACCAACCAGCCCTCAAAATAACAATTCCTAGACAATGCCAAGATACGTGCAGTAAATAATTTAATCCGTTCTAACAAATTCAAGTCCTTAAATCTTAGTCTACAAGTAATTAGCTGTACACTGATAACTTCAGGTTTTCCTCATGGTAACCGATGTAGTACATAGTCAGCTGTTCTGGAAGTACAGTGCTCTGTAGCTGTGGGAAGCGATATGTGATTAGTAGAAATACTACTTCAATTAAACTCCTTTATTTAGTCATACGTTTAACTCTGTACTGGCTTTATGCATGTCATCTAAAGAATTTAAGCACCAAAAAAGAACAACAGCCACACGAGATGGTCAGTGTAGACATATCCAGGCTTTCCTTTAGGTACAATGTTTTCAAGTAACAGAATCCAAAGCTGTGCAACAAAGATGCTGAAAAGGAATAAATGTGCATCATCTCGGAAAGCCTATTCTTGTTGTAAATCGCAGCATTTATTCTACATATTATTTGCAAAAGAATGGAATGTATTCTCATTTTTTAAGCTACTGTTACTGTATATAAATTGGATTAGTTAGCCCTGGCTGGTTCAGAAAATACATATTTTACCTCTCTCTGCCAGGAAGGATCATTTCCTACTACGGAAGATACATTCCCTGGGGAAGACAGCTTGTCACTCAACCAGCTGCATCACTGAAACACCCCATGGGCCAAACATGCCACATGATTGATATTTTGTCCAAGCATCTGGCCGAGCCCCATTCTCTCTCGGGGTTACTGACTTTGGGACTCAAACAAACGCCCTGCTGGCCACTGCGTATATAACACAACTACTCAACAAAGTCACACCCAGTGGCTTTTCTGCTGCTGGGCTCTGAGCTACAAGATAACTCAAATTTTGCCTGCCTGGTACAACCACCACCATCGCTGGAGGTACCGAACTCAGTCTAGCCGTTTTCACAAGCTGCAGAGCTCCCCTTCTACTGCCCAAAGCACCCTCCAGGTAAGGACCGTGTCACATCCACATATTCACATAAAAAACTGTTACTGCTCATCCTCTACCTACTCTGCAGTTACAGAAAGTAGAAAAGGCTTCAGACACAGAGCTATCAGTCTGGCACCCGTCACAAGCACTAGGACTAGATGTTGTCCAAAACATAAGAAGCCTGTTCTAAAGTAATGTAGCGTATGCATTGGTCCCACACACTTGGAATATGTCTGTTGAACAGCAATGTGCAAATACTACGTGCAATTGCACAGGTAGCGTGTTGGTGTAATTACCAGAACCCTGCTCAGAAATCTGTACAGTCATAGGAGCGGCAGCTCAGCTAAATGCTCCTACACGTAACCAGAATAATCACAGGGGTATTTTGGATGCAGGACATTGGTCACCAACTCCAAAGTCCAAATACTAAGGTTTCCACATGATAAAATGGTTTAAGAATCAATGGCATCACACCTGACAAGGGAAGAGACGTAAAGGTTAAAGAGAAGATGAGAAGTCCACCTGCACTATGGAGTGAGACCCCAGACACAGCACACATGTGGGCTTTGTTACTTCCAGGATTCTAAACCATTTTTTAAAAGATACATTTCACATCTATTTACAATATTACTGTGATACAATGCCTGATTGTGTAATATTACAGAAATACATGATGCCAGTACTGATTGTCCTAGGATATACTCTGTTGTGATAACGCAGTACAGCTGGAAATTACTGAAAGCATCAAGCAAAGCTACTTGAACTGAGACACTGAAACTTTTCCCTTAAAGACTGGACAATATTCTGCTGATTTGGAGATGGTACTCTCCACAGGTAGTCGTTCAGTTTGTCCGAATCGCTATATGCAGTCAGATACGGGGTAAGCGTGTGTTTGTTGCTGGCAGACTTTGCAGGAGTACAAGAGACAGTTTTGCCACAGAGCGTTTCAGAAGGAGCAGCGTCTGCATTACGCGGTTTAGGATCCGATTTCCTTGTTTGGTTCTGAGAGGTCTCCAAGTCAGATCCCTCATCTTCAGACCTTATTTCAACATAGTCATCATCATCCTCTTCTCCTTCTTCAGTATCTTTGAAATTAGAAAAATAGTTCTGAGTGGCCATCTGTGCCGTCAGAGGGGAGGCCCTGTTCACCCTCAGGACCTTTTGAGAATCCTGCAGAATCATATCTGAACAGTTTTCGGGGATCTGCTTTCGCATGTCAGGCCCTGTACATCCCGAAGCAACACCCGGCGTTTGATGGCTGTTGAATCGGAGGTTCCTATTCAAATGGTGCTTTTTCTTGTCCATTTCATTAGGATATATGATTGCTTCTCCAGACCTGTTGACCACAATTGAGGAAGATGACTGCGACCTGCTGTACACCTGTGGTTTTACATTGCTTACTCTTCTCCCAAGGGAGTTATAGATGTGATCTTGATGTAAATTTTCTTTGTTGGGTTGGCTTATAATGGCGCTCCACCTCTGTGCTGGGACATGCAAACGGTTAGAAATCTGAAGGGAAGGCACCGAGCCAGCTGATGGCAACTGCCTTGAATTGCTTTTTGTACCAGCTTCTGTATACGAGCTTTTGGACTTTGGGTCTTGGGATTCAGACCACGGAGAGAAGTCGGCCAGCTCACCGTTACTGTATGTAGAATGCAAAAGCCAATCCTCTGCTCTTGAGCATTCGCTGTCAGCCTGGGAACGGGGAGGAGACGCAGCTACGGGCGTGGAATACCTCCCAGCTGACGGCTCCTGAGGGGTGGCCCAGGCTTCCTTTTGGACCTTAGGTGAACTTTCTCTGAAGACGATTTGGTCATAAAGCTGGGAATATTCAGCTATTCTGGCACCTAGAAAGGAGAGAGAAGTAACTTAGCAGAGGCAAGCAATCCATTCAAAGGAGTCACGTGAAAATTTAAAAATCCTCAAATGCTTTGTATTGGTCAAGAGAAAAGTTTACAGCTGTGTCAGGATCTTCAGCCTCAACAAAGTAACAGGAAGCAATGGAGGCTGGAACAGCCGTGCACTGCATTGCATTTCAGCACATTGCATTGAAAAAAAAGAAGCAAAAAATGTCTTGCAACAGTGAATAGTCACGCAGGACAAAATGTAGCACACGGTTCAAATAATATGCTGCTTGTTTCATGTTAAAATGGAAAAGAACGTTCTGAAAACAGCCTGGTAAATAAGATATTTAGGGACTTTTATAAATATCACAAGAAGGCAAGAATGACACTCTAGTGCATGGAGTCTGCTGGCTCCATGTCTCCAATTTGTTTCAATTGACTGCAGACAAAAATAGTTCCAAAGCTGTTGCATATCCACAATGGTGCATACTCATTACAAAGAACAGGAAGAGCAGCTCTTTCCTATCTGACCCCATTCTTTATGCTTAGAAGTGTGATGTGGATGGTACCTGAGCAAACCTACACAACATGTTAGAAGGTCAATATGCCTGAAAATACACCTTTTTAGTCAAACTTGGAAGATTACACTATTAAAGGAAATATCTGCTTTTCTGTAAAGAGGCCAATAACGCTTCAGGCATAAGTTCTATTTCCAGCCTAAACTGAATCAATCTTTCCTGACACTACCCCACTATTTATTCCCAATTTTATCAAGTAACAATGAGAACTTATCGCCATATAAAGGACTACTCATGTTAGAAGCAGTCACAGAAAACTCATTTCAGTGGTAAAACAGAAAATGCAATACTGATACTCAACTAGTAAGGCAAGGAAGATTCATAATCTTCCAACTCAGTACACAAATTTCATTGTAAATTACTAAAGAAATGTATCTGTATAGAAATGTTTTTTACATACCAATAGCAGGACCACCTTGTTTCTTCTCCTCCAGAATAGCAGCAAGATCTTTGTGTTTCAGCTTTTGCTGTCTGCTAGCTGGCTGTTCCTGCTCTGGACTTTTAACTTTCAAAAGCTGGTTAGCCCTCTTAATTTTTTGACTGTACTGCCTTGCCATCATAAAAACTCTGTTCTTTGTTTTATCCACAACAGCCAAGTCATTTTCCATGCCCTCTGTATGTGCGTTGGACAGAACACTATTGGCAGATTCATATGGGCTATCTACAAAAGGCATCTCACTGGAGAAAGAAGATCTGTTCAGACTCATAAAAGAGTTCTCCTTGCACGGTGTAGTGTCTTCAAGCCTGAGATTAGCCTCGCTTAAGGTGGCAGCCCTGGGCTTCACAGTTTTAGGGAAAATAGGAGTTTCTGGCAGAGAGAGAGTAGACAGTGAGTACTCTACATCTTTACTGAGTTCAGGTGTACTACCAGCATGCAACCTTTCCTGCAGATCATCTTTACAAACAGGAAAGGCTGCAAGGAGACGATCCCTTGTCTTTTCCTCATTCTTCTTGATGTAGTTCTCCAGGTCATTCCAAATCTCATCTACTTCCTCCGAGAGTTTATCTGCTGCAGACTTATGGGAGAGTGAATCCGAGTTGGAGGAGCTATCTACTAAGCTCAAGTAGTCATTGTCGACAGGAACACGATGGTAAGGACTTTCATCTTCACTGAACTGCAGACTCTCTTCAGAAACAAACTGCCGTAGATTGTCACAACATGCAAAGTCTTTTTCCAGGCCCAGAAAACTCCGCCTTTTAGAGCATTTTAAGGGGTCACATTTAAAATTCAATAGTGGAGTTTCTGGAAGCACTATGGTGTCATAGATGTTGTCTTCAACGATCCTGAGCTCATCCAAACTTGAAGTAGGTGCTTCTCTGCTGAGTAGTATCTCATCCCTACTAGCACGAATGGACGCCCGGTTTTGATTTGCTGTCCTCTTTTTGGAGGGTGAATCTAAGTTGCTTTTGTTGTCGGCCTCATAGAGAGAGTCTCTAGCAGACCTCTGGGGACCACGGTCTGTCTCCTCCCTTCTTGTAAGACCCATCAGCTTTAAGTCTTCATAGCTTATATTATCATAAACATGTTCAATATCATCGATGGTCAGCTCCTCTGAAGATTCAGGATACGCATTCATACTGCTCACCTCTGCTCTCTTCACTTCCCTTCGAGAACTGCGCTCCCCGATTTTATACCTTGCACCGGCTGGACACATGTTACTCTCACCAGCACTACTGGCCCGCCTAACAATTTTGTGACGAGTGGGGCTGGAAGTCTCATTTTGATGCATTACCCCCAGGTGCCAGCTGCATGGACGCCCAGAAGAACCCCTCCTTTCTCCACCAACGGCTGAACTAGCATTGGATGTAGACACTGATGGTACAAACATCTGGTAATCATCTTCATCATCTTCATTCTCATAAGGTGGACGCCGGCTGGGAAATAATGCCTGCCTGATCTGATGGTCAGTCCAGATGTTTCTGACAGAGGTGCTTCCCCCCAGGATATTCATGATTAGCGAGTTGCTCTGGGGTGTGCTGAATTGTCGAGGCAACTGTGGCTGTCTAGCTGTGCAGGAGAATGGAAGATCGCTATTCAACTGGGTTGACTCTTCATCTGAAGGGTCCTTGGAGCTCTGTGGAGATTTGAAATACACAGGGTAACGTTAGCCTATCCCCTGCAATAATACAGTGACTCCCTCCATTCACAGAGCTGTCCTAGCACCAGGGTGTCCCTCAGCATGGAGTCAGGTGGAGATGGGCAGAGTGAGCCGGCTCATTCCTGGAGAGCCAGGGAGCCAAGGTGGCAATGCCAGACTATTTGCCTCCTAATCCTTACCATGGCTCAGAGTTCACTCTTGGCATTTAACAACAACTTACTTCAAACACAAGACACCGGCTCGTGTTAACGCATGAGCAATTAAAGGCAAATTTGTTTGGCAGGGGTTAGATTAAACCTTTTATGCTAACTCTGCAGTTTCACAATTGGACAAAGCTAATCTGACTCTGGGCTTGTGCCAAAAATTCTGTTCTCCTCCCTTTCTGCTTGCCTGTAATCCTAGCAGAAAGGTATGTTATGCTCTCTAGCACATGCCACTGAAAATTTCATTGTCTTTTTGGAGTAAGTTTTCATCCAGCTCAGCTAGCAGATGTAATTTACAGAAAGGCCACATGCCTCCTAATGCTTATATGAAGGATACTGTAGATGTTCCTGGCCAGAGGTTGGGAAAGAGAGGGAAAGATAATTCCTTTTGGATTAAGTTAATGCTGGTTGGTTGGGTTTTTTT